GTAAGCACGATAGATGTGGAAAAACGTGGAAAAACGTGGAAAAACGTGGAAAACAAGGCAAAGAAAGCAACGAGGCGGCCAGAAACGCGTGCAAAAGTGCCGCGACCCGGGATCGAACCAGGGACCTTCAGATCTTCAGTCTGACGCTCTCCCAACTGAGCTATCGAGGCGCCACAACACAAACATACCCTACCTCCCCAAATTGTTCACGAGCCCACACAGCCTACCACGCGTTCCATGCACGCATCCATTGGCCCCCAGCATCTCCTTGCGTCCTGACTACCCTCATCGACCTTCAAAGTGCCGCTCTACGACCATCTCGCGACGTACCAGCCGCCTGCCGCAACTTATGTAGCAAATTATGCCGTTCCGACGCTTGTAAAATTGCGCCGAATCGAACAGTGGCAGTCTACGCTTCATCCATCACCAGCCAGCACCAGCCATACCGTTCCGTGACTACTCCGATGCGAGCAGTGAAGATCGTACACACGCCCGACCAAAGTTCACGCCCCCGTGTCTGTCCGACAAATAGATTTATGCACACTAGGTACGCGCCGCTAGTGACAAGTCCACACCGGCGCGATCTTGGTGTGATATGCTGCTATGTAAGCACGATAGATGTGGAAAAACGTGGAAAAACGTGGAAAAACAAAAGGCAAAGAAAGCAACGAGGCGGCCAGAAACGCGTGCAAAAGTGCCGCGACCCGGGATCGAACCAGGGACCTTCAGATCTTCAGTCTGACGCTCTCCCAACTGAGCTATCGAGGCGCCACAACACAAACATACCCTACCTCCCCAAATTGTTCACGAGCCCACACAGCCTACCACGCGTTCCATGCACGCATCCATTGGCCCCCAGCATCTCCTTGCGTCCTGACTACCCTCATCGACCTTCAAAGTGCCGCTCTACGACCATCTCGCGACGTACCAGCCGCCTGCCGCAACTTATGTAGCAAATTATGCCGTTCCGACGCTTGTAAAATTGCGCCGAATCGAACAGTGGCAGTCTACGCTTCATCCATCACCAGCCAGCACCAGCCATACCGTTCCGTGACTACTCCGATGCGAGCAGTGAAGATCGTACACACGCCTGACCAAAGTTCACGCCCCCGTGTCTGTCCGACAAATAGATTTATGCACACTAGGTACGCGCCGCTAGTGACAAGTCCACACCGGCGCGATCTTGGTGTGATATGCTGCTATGTAAGCACGATAGATGTGGAAAAACGTGGAAAAACGTGGAAAACAAGGCAAAGAAAGCAACGAGGCGGCCAGAAACGCGTGCAAAAGTGCCGCGACCCGGGATCGAACCAGGGACCTTCAGATCTTCAGTCTGACGCTCTCCCAACTGAGCTACCGAGGCGCCACAACACAAACATACCCTACCTCCCCAAATTGTTCACGAGCCCACACAGCCTACCACGCGTTCCATGCACGCATCCATTGGCCCCCAGCATCTCCTTGCGTCCTGACTACCCTCATCGACCTTCAAAGTGCCGCTCTACGACCATCTCGCGACGTACCAGCCGCCTGCCGCAACTTATGTAGCAAATTATGCCGTTCCGACGCTTGTAAAATTGCGCCGAATCGAACAGTGGCAGTCTACGCTTCATCCATCACCAGCCAGCACCAGCCATACCGTTCCGTGACTACTCCGATGCGAGCAGTGAAGATCGTACACACGCCTGACCAAAGTTCACGCCCCCGTGTCTGTCCGACAAATAGATTTATGCACACTAGGTACGCGCCGCTAGTGACAAGTCCACACCGGCGCGATCTTGGTGTGATATACTGCTATGTAAGCACGATAGATGTGGGAAAACGTGGAAAAACGTGGAAAACAAGGCAAAGAAAGCAACGAGGCGGCCAGAAACGCGTGCAAAAGTGCCGCGACCCGGGATCGAACCAGGGACCTTCAGATCTTCAGTCTGACGCTCTCCCAACTGAGCTACCGAGGCGCCACAACACAAACATACCCTACCTTCCCAAATTGTTCACGCACACACACAGCCTACCACGCGTTCCATGCACGCATCCATTGGCCCCCAGCATCTCCTTGCGTCCTGACTACCCTCATCGACCTTCAAAGTGCCGCTCTACGACCATCTCGCGACGTACCAGCCGCCTGCCGCAACTTATGTAGCAAATTGTGCCGTTCCGACGCTTGTACAAATGCGCCGAATCGAACTGTGGCAGTCTACGCTTCATCCATCACCAGCCAGCACCAGCCATACCGTTCCGTGACTACTCCGATGCGAGCAGTGAAGATCGTACACACGCCTGACCAAAGTTCACGCCCCCGTGTCTGTCCGACAAATAGATTTATGCACACTAGGTACGCGCCGCTAGTGACAAGTCCACACCGGCGCGATCTTGGTGTGATATACTGCTATGTAAGCACGATAGATGTGGAAAAACGTGGAAAAACGTGGAAAACAAGGCAAAGAAAGCAACGAGGCGGCCAGAAACGCGTGCAAAAGTGCCGCGACCCGGGATCGAACCAGGGACCTTCAGATCTTCAGTCTGACGCTCTCCCAACTGAGCTACCGAGGCGCCACAACACAAACATACCCTACCTCCCCAAATTGTTCACGCACACACACAGCCTACCACGCGTTCCATGCACGCATCCATTGGCCTCCAGCATCTCCTTGCGTCCTGACTACCCTCATCGACCTTCAAAGTGCCGCTCTACGACCATCTCGCGACGTACCAGCCGCCTGCCGCAACTTATGTAACAATTGTGCCGTTCCGACGCTTGTACAAATGCGCCGAATCGAACTGTGGCAGTCTACGCTTCATCCATCATCAGCCAGCACCAGCCATACCGTTCCGTGACTACTCCGATGCGAGCAGTGAAGATCGTACACACGCCTGACCAAAGTTCACGCCCCCGTGTCTGTCCGACAAATAGATTTATGCACACTAGGTACGCGCCGCTAGTGACAAGTCCACACCGGCGCGATCTTGGTGTGATATACTGCTATGTAAGCACGATAGATGTGGAAAAACGTGGAAAAACGTGGAAAACAAGGCAAAGAAAGCAACGAGGCGGCCAGAAACGCGTGCAAAAGTGCCGCGACCCGGGATCGAACCAGGGACCTTCAGATCTTCAGTCTGACGCTCTCCCAACTGAGCTATCGAGGCGCCACAACACAAACATACCCTACCTCCCCAAATTGTTCACGAGCACACACAGCCTACCACGCGTTCCATGCACGCATCCATTGGCCTCCAGCATCTCCTTGCGTCCTGACTACCCCTCATCGACCTTCAAAGTGCCGCTCTACGACCATCTCGCGACGTACCAGCCGCCTGCCGCAACTTATGTAACAATTGTGCCGTTCCGACGCTTGTACAAATGCGCCGAATCGAACTGTGGCAGTCTACGCTTCATCCATCATCAGCCAGCACCAGCCATACCGTTCCGTGACTACTCCGATGCGAGCAGTGAAGATCGTACACACGCCTGACCAAAGTTCACGCCCCCGTGTCTGTCCGACAAATAGATTTATGCACACTAGGTACGCGCCGCTAGTGACAAGTCCACACCGGCGCGATCTTGGTGTGATATACTGCTATGTAAGCACGATAGATGTGGAAAAACGTGGAAAAACGTGGAAAACAAGGCAAAGAAAGCAACGAGGCGGCCAGAAACGCGTGCAAAAGTGCCGCGACCCGGGATCGAACCAGGGACCTTCAGATCTTCAGTCTGACGCTCTCCCAACTGAGCTATCGAGGCGCCACAACACAAACATACCCTACCTCCCCAAATTGTTCACGAGCACACACAGCCTACCACGCGTTCCATGCACGCATCCATTGGCCTCCAGCATCTCCTTGCGTCCTGACTACCCCTATCGACCTTCAAAGTGCCGCTCTACGACCATCTCGCGACGTACCAGCCGCCTGCCGCAACTTATGTAACAATTGTGCCGTTCCGACGCTTGTACAAATGCGCCGAATCGAACTGTGGCAGTCTACGCTTCATCCATCATCAGCCAGCACCAGCCATACCGTTCCGTGACTACTCCGATGCGAGCAGTGAAGATCGTACACACGCCTGACCAAAGTTCACGCCCCCGTGTCTGTCCGACAAATAGATTTATGCACACTAGGTACGCGCCGCTAGTGACAAGTCCACACCGGCGCGATCTTGGTGTGATATGCTGCTATGTAAGCACGATAGATGTGGAAAAACGTGGGAAAACGTGGAAAACAAGGCAAAGAAAGCAACGAGGCGGCCAGAAACGCGTGCAAAAGTGCCGCGACCCGGGATCGAACCAGGGACCTTCAGATCTTCAGTCTGACGCTCTCCCAACTGAGCTACCGAGGCGACCCCGGTGGCGTGGGGTAGTGGATTAAGCTTCTGGTCCTCACGGTGTGGATTGCGGGTTCGAGCCCCACACCGGACATCTTCGTAATCGAACCACACATGGAGAGCGGTCGGCTCCATGCTAAATAATAACCGACCCCAATAACCGTAACGGTATAATACTAATAATAGAGGAAAAAGAATAGAAAAAAATTCAGCCTTAGCGAGCTGTGTAATATCTTAGCCATAGCCGAGAAGGTATAGGTTGTGTAAAAGGTAATATACAACTAACTTAAAACTGAGCTACCGAGGCGCCACAACACAAACATACCCTACCTCCCCAAATTGTTCACGAGCACACACAGCCTACCACGCGTTCCATGCACGCATCCATTGGCCTCCAGCATTTCCTTGCGTCCTGACTACCCCTATCGACCTTCAAAGTGCCGCTCTACGACCATCTCGCGACGTACCAGCCGCCTGCCGCAACTTATGTAACAATTGTGCCGTTCCGACGCTTGTACAAATGCGCCGAATCGAACTGTGGCAGTCTACGCTTCATCCATCATCAGCCAGCACCAGCCATACCGTTCCGTGACTACTCCGATGCGAGCAGTGAAGATCGTACACACGCCTGACCAAAGTTCACGCCCCCGTGTCTGTCCGACAAATAGATTTATGCACACTAGGTACGCGCCGCTAGTGACAAGTCCACACCGGCGCGATCTTGGTGTGATATACTGCTATGTAAGCACGATAGATGTGGGAAAACGTGGAAAAACGTGGAAAACAAGGCAAAGAAAGCAACGAGGCGGCCAGAAACGCGTGCAAAAGTGCCGCGACCCGGGATCGAACCAGGGACCTTCAGATCTTCAGTCTGACGCTCTCCCAACTGAGCTACCGAGGCGACCCCGGTGGCGTGGGGTAGTGGATTAAGCTTCTGGTCCTCACGGTGTGGATTGCGGGTTCGAGCCCCACACCGGACATCTTCGTAATCGAACCACACATGGAGAGCGGTCGGCTCCATGCTAAATAATAACCGACCCCAATAACCGTAACGGTATAATACTAATAATAGAGGAAAAAGAATAGAAAAAAATTCAGCCTTAGCGAGCTGTGTAATATCTTAGCCATAGCCGAGAAGGTATAGGTTGTGTAAAAGGTAATATACAACTAACTTAAAACTGAGCTACCGAGGCGCCACAACACAAACATACCCTACCTCCCCAAATTCTTCACGAGCACACACAGCCTACCACGCGTTCCATGCACGCATCCATTGGCCTCCAGCATTTCCTTGCGTCCTGACTACCCCTATCGACCTTCAAAGTGCCGCTCTACGACCATCTCGCGACGTACCAGCCGCCTGCCGCAACTTATGTAACAATTGTGCCGTTCCGACGCTTGTACAAATGCGCCGAATCGAACTGTGGCAGTCTACGCTTCATCCATCATCAGCCAGCACCAGCCATACCGTTCCGTGACTACTCCGATGCGAGCAGTGAAGATCGTACACACGCCTGACCAAAGTTCACGCCCCCGTGTCTGTCCGACAAATAGATTTATGCACACTAGGTACGCGCCGCTAGTGACAAGTCCACACGGCGCGATCTTGGTGTGATATACTGCTATGTAAGCACGATAGATGTGGGAAAACGTGGAAAAACGTGGAAAAAAGGCAAAGAAAGCAACGAGGCGGCCAGAAACGCGTGCAAAAGTGCCGCGACCCGGGATCGAACCAGGGACCTTCAGATCTTCAGTCTGACGCTCTCCCAACTGAGCTATCGAGGCGCCACAACACAAACATACCCTACCTCCCCAAATTGTTCACGCAGCACACACAGCCTACCACGCGTTCCATGCACGCATCCATTGGCCTCCAGCATTTCCTTGCGTCCTGACTACCCCTATCGACCTTCAAAGTGCCGCTCTACGACCATCTCGCGACGTACCAGCCGCCTGCCGCAACTTATGTAACAATTGTGCCGTTCCGACGCTTGTACAAATGCGCCGAATCGAACTGTGGCAGTCTACGCTTCATCCATCATCAGCCAGCACCAGCCATACCGTTCCGTGACTACTCCGATGCGAGCAGTGAAGATCGTACACACGCCTGACCAAAGTTCACGCCCCCGTGTCTGTCCGACAAATAGATTTATGCACACTAGGTACGCGCCGCTAGTGACAAGTCCACACGGCGCGATCTTGGTGTGATATACTGCTATGTAAGCACGATAGATGTGGGAAAACGTGGGAAAAACGTGGAAAACAAGGCAAAGAAAGCAACGAGGCGGCCAGAAACGCGTGCAAAAGTGCCGCGACCCGGGATCGAACCAGGGACCTTCAGATCTTCAGTCTGACGCTCTCCCAACTGAGCTATCGAGGCGCCACAACACAAACATACCCTACCTCCCCAAATTGTTCACGCAGCACACACAGCCTACCACGCGTTCCATGCACGCATCCATTGGCCTCCAGCATTTCCTTGCGTCCTGACTACCCCTATCGACCTTCAAAGTGCCGCTCTACGACCATCTCGCGACGTACCAGCCGCCTGCCGCAACTTATGTAACAATTGTGCCGTTCCGACGCTTGTACAAATGCGCCGAATCGAACTGTGGCAGTCTACGCTTCATCCATCATCAGCCAGCACCAGCCATACCGTTCCGTGACTACTCCGATGCGAGCAGTGAAGATCGTACACACGCCTGACCAAAGTTCACGCCCCCGTGTCTGTCCGACAAATAGATTTATGCACACTAGGTACGCGCCGCTAGTGACAAGTCCACACGGCGCGATCTTGGTGTGATATACTGCTATGTAAGCACGATAGATGTGGGAAAACGTGGAAAAACGTGGAAAACAAGGCAAAGAAAGCAACGAGGCGGCCAGAAACGCGTGCAAAAGTGCCGCGACCCGGGATCGAACCAGGGACCTTCAGATCTTCAGTCTGACGCTCTCCCAACTGAGCTATCGAGGCGCCACAACACAAACATACCCTACCTCCCCAAATTGTTCACGCAGCACACACAGCCTACCACGCGTTCCATGCACGCATCCATTGGCCTCCAGCATTTCCTTGCGTCCTGACTACCCCTATCGACCTTCAAAGTGCCGCTCTACGACCATCTCGCGACGTACCAGCCGCCTGCCGCAACTTATGTAACAATTGTGCCGTTCCGACGCTTGTACAAATGCGCCGAATCGAACTGTGGCAGTCTACGCTTCATCCATCATCAGCCAGCACCAGCCATACCGTTCCGTGACTACTCCGATGCGAGCAGTGAAGATCGTACACACGCCTGACCAAAGTTCACGCCCCCGTGTCTGTCCGACAAATAGATTTATGCACACTAGGTACGCGCCGCTAGTGACAAGTCCACACGGCGCGATCTTGGTGTGATATACTGCTATGTAAGCACGATAGATGTGGGAAAACGTGGGAAAAACGTGGAAAACAAGGCAAAGAAAGCAACGAGGCGGCCAGAAACGCGTGCAAAAGTGCCGCGACCCGGGATCGAACCAGGGACCTTCAGATCTTCAGTCTGACGCTCTCCCAACTGAGCTATCGAGGCGCCACAACACAAACATACCCTACCTCCCCAAATTGTTCACGCAGCACACACAGCCTACCACGCGTTCCATGCACGCATCCATTGGCCTCCAGCATTTCCTTGCGTCCTGACTACCCCTATCGACCTTCAAAGTGCCGCTCTACGACCATCTCGCGACGTACCAGCCGCCTGCCGCAACTTATGTAACAATTGTGCCGTTCCGACGCTTGTACAAATGCGCCGAATCGAACTGTGGCAGTCTACGCTTCATCCATCATCAGCCAGCACCAGCCATACCGTTCCGTGACTACTCCGATGCGAGCAGTGAAGATCGTACACACGCCTGACCAAAGTTCACGCCCCCGTGTCTGTCCGACAAATAGATTTATGCACACTAGGTACGCGCCGCTAGTGACAAGTCCACACGGCGCGATCTTGGTGTGATATACTGCTATGTAAGCACGATAGATGTGGGAAAACGTGGAAAAACGTGGAAAAAAGGCAAAGAAAGCAACGAGGCGGCCAGAAACGCGTGCAAAAGTGCCGCGACCCGGGATCGAACCAGGGACCTTCAGATCTTCAGTCTGACGCTCTCCCAACTGAGCTATCGAGGCGCCACAACACAAACATACCCTACCTCCCCAAATTGTTCACGAGCACACACAGCCTACCACGCGTTCCATGCACGCATCCATTGGCCTCCAGCATCTCCTTGCGTCCTGACTACCCTCATCGACCTTCAAAGTGCCGCTCTACGACCATCTCGCGACGTACCAGCCGCCTGCCGCAACTTATGTAACAATTGTGCCGTTCCGACGCTTGTACAAATGCGCCGAATCGAACTGTGGCAGTCTACGCTTCATCCATCATCAGCCAGCACCAGCCATACCGTTCCGTGACTACTCCGATGCGAGCAGTGAAGATCGTACACACGCCTGACCAAAGTTCACGCCCCCGTGTCTGTCCGACAAATAGATTTATGCACACTAGGTACGCGCCGCTAGTGACAAGTCCACACGGCGCGATCTTGGTGTGATATACTGCTATGTAAGCACGATAGATGTGGGAAAACGTGGAAAAACGTGGAAAAAGGCAAAGAAAGCAACGAGGCGGCCAGAAACGCGTGCAAAAGTGCCGCGACCCGGGATCGAACCAGGGACCTTCAGATCTTCAGTCTGACGCTCTCCCAACTGAGCTATCGAGGCGCCACAACACAAACATACCCTACCTCCCCAAATTGTTCACGAGCACACACAGCCTACCACGCGTTCCATGCACGCATCCATTGGCCTCCAGCATCTCCTTGCGTCCTGACTACCCCTATCGACCTTCAAAGTGCCGCTCTACGACCATCTCGCGACGTACCAGCCGCCTGCCGCAACTTATGTAACAATTGTGCCGTTCCGACGCTTGTACAAATGCGCCGAATCGAACTGTGGCAGTCTACGCTTCATCCATCATCAGCCAGCACCAGCCATACCGTTCCGTGACTACTCCGATGCGAGCAGTGAAGATCGTACACACGCCTGACCAAAGTTCACGCCCCCGTGTCTGTCCGACAAATAGATTTATGCACACTAGGTACGCGCCGCTAGTGACAAGTCCACACGGCGCGATCTTGGTGTGATATACTGCTATGTAAGCACGATAGATGTGGGAAAACGTGGGAAAAACGTGGAAAACAAGGCAAAGAAAGCAACGAGGCGGCCAGAAACGCGTGCAAAAGTGCCGCGACCCGGGATCGAACCAGGGACCTTCAGATCTTCAGTCTGACGCTCTCCCAACTGAGCTATCGAGGCGCCACAACACAAACATACCCTACCTCCCCAAATTGTTCACGCAGCACACACAGCCTACCACGCGTTCCATGCACGCATCCATTGGCCTCCAGCATCTCCTTGCGTCCTGACTACCCCTATCGACCTTCAAAGTGCCGCTCTACGACCATCTCGCGACGTACCAGCCGCCTGCCGCAACTTATGTAACAATTGTGCCGTTCCGACGCTTGTACAAATGCGCCGAATCGAACTGTGGCAGTCTACGCTTCATCCATCATCAGCCAGCACCAGCCATACCGTTCCGTGACTACTCCGATGCGAGCAGTGAAGATCGTACACACGCCTGACCAAAGTTCACGCCCCCGTGTCTGTCCGACAAATAGATTTATGCACACTAGGTACGCGCCGCTAGTGACAAGTCCACACGGCGCGATCTTGGTGTGATATACTGCTATGTAAGCACGATAGATGTGGGAAAACGTGGGAAAAACGTGGAAAACAAGGCAAAGAAAGCAACGAGGCGGCCAGAAACGCGTGCAAAAGTGCCGCGACCCGGGATCGAACCAGGGACCTTCAGATCTTCAGTCTGACGCTCTCCCAACTGAGCTATCGAGGCGCCACAACACAAACATACCCTACCTCCCCAAATTGTTCACGCAGCACACACAGCCTACCACGCGTTCCATGCACGCATC